ATTCAAATGTATATATAAAACCTAAAAAAATTTTGTTTCATATCCTCCACGTGCAAAATTTTTAAAGGCTTAGCAGCCTACGATCAAGCAGCAACTGAGTACAAAGGTCGTAACTAGATGAGATAATTGTTTGCTTTACTTCTTTATTTACTGTTCTATGTTTTAAGAAAAATATGTTTAAGAACTTATTTCAAAATACCAATGATCTATATACATATATAATGTATAATAATTGAAATGTGACTGTATTTTACAAAATACTAATCGACTAAAACACAGCTAAGACAAGTTACTTTGTACAGACCAAAGGTCACTTTTATGTTATTAGATACGGTAACAGTGCACTTGAGCCGCGTCATTTTAACTTCTGCATTATTAGCCAGGCACAGGTGAAAGGTCAATATAATAAAAATTATAAATATATAATGTTATGAGATTTAAGCTATTTCGTCTAAACATTTTTGTTTTCGTGTTATAATTTGTGTTCATTTTAGAATAAAAGAGGCATAATTTATGTTTATTTGTGAAAAAGGTAAAAAACAGCAACTAGATAGTCTGGAAATTTTTGAAATAAACAGAAGTCTAAAACTAAATCCAGAAAAAAGGCTCTAAATGACCAAACCAACTTAAGCTCCTCCCAACTTTTCACTCCACTTGCCTCAAGGTGAATGTTAAGGCTACTTCCCGTTCTTCGTTTAAATTATATATATATAAATAAACCTGTTTACACACCATTTTAATGATATATATATATATAAATGAATTATTGTTTTAAAGTTGTAAATTATTTATTTTATCGTATTCTATTTTAAATTATAAATAATTATTAAATTAATTGTGTTATCGGGCTTCCCCAAAATAAAATAAATAAATAAAAATAATAATAACAAAGTAATAATTTCACTACTCCTGGATCACTGGCAAAGCAAATAAGAATATTACATAACGAAAGGAAAATGGAAGAATGCATGGCGTAAAGAAGATAAAATGAAAAAAAAATGAAACCTTATTTTAGCCATTTCAATCTGAGCCATCTCTGAAATATCATTATCAATCGTTTTCAAGACGGTTCCTTCATTCAAGAGTAAACATGATTGTACAAGTTTAGGTAAAATAATCATTGTACAAGAATATAAACTGTCATGATTTGTAAACCATGTCCTCCTGTGCTTATTCATAACGAAATGACGTCAAGAAGGCTAAAACAAAAACACAACTAGAAGCAATAACACAAAGCAGATGGTAGAGGCATAATAATGTCAATAAACATCTAATGCCTCCTCTGGGTGGGCATTCCTCACTGACGTATTTCAGCCTGTACCTGATGATGCCTTTACTGGCGAAACCATGGTCGTAATAAATGAAGTTTTTGTGAAACGAACAATAGGGTTTTGTTTTTTTCTTCAATTCTATAACTATGGAGTTTCATCAAGTACCAATGGTTTCAAAATCAAGTATCAATTATTACTTTAGCGATGTACAAAATATAATATATAAAATGGGTGATATTATATTTGAGTATACTTTATGTATATTAATTCCTAAGTAATATGCCGAGTGATGTAGAGAGCAGTAAAAGTCTAAAACAAATTAGCTTAATACCAGCATTATAATATTTTCCAGTCCTAAAGCTAAATTTCGATGGAATTCAAGAATCAAAGGACTATAAGTTGGTGAAATGGTTAGCGAGTGAAAAGGTAAGTAATATTAATACATCAAATATTATGTCATTGTTATAATGTGTTCCATCATTGGGCCAGTTCTTTTAAATTAATCGGTAAAAATAATGTGAAGTTCAGTGATCATTAAGGAATTAGTTTATTTATTCAATAATATTTTTCTTGACTGGTAGGCCTAACTTCTCAAAGAAATTTCAAAACTAATGATATACCTAACTCACAAATAAAGCTCAAGTCACATACCTGAAATATTTCCATGCCAATCAATCGAAAGAACAACAAAGAAAGACTATGGTTGACTAACTCATTGACGAACAGACTAAGTCACCAACTGACACTGAACTGATTAATCAATTAATATGGCGTTTTTATATTCTACTCTACCTCACCAAGCCTAAACTTTCATGAAACTTCTAGACTTCACACAATTATTACATCATGTAGAAAATCTTCTAGTGAACTAAATAATACCAAAATGTTTAACATATAGCCTGCAACAGTATTGTTTTAATGTTTCGCGTGCTTATTTTGTTGATGCAGCAGAAAAAAAATCAGTTTTTGGAACGTTACTAGAGAGGGTCCAGTACATTATATTAAAATGATTTTGATATCTATGTCGTAGCTAAAAACAAAACTCACTATGAAGGTTTGGAGAAACTATTTTACGATTTTGATATTGGTATATATATTTGTTTTTACATTTTCAAGTAACAAATACCTAAAAATATCAGAAAATTACTCCTCATCCAGTTCTTACTGTCCCCAGTGGCTCAGCAATATGCCTGCGGATATATAACGCTAAAAATAGGGTTTTGATACCCGTGGTGAGCACAAGGTGGTGTGGATAAGATTAGCAATTACAACCAAATACACTCTGGATGTTATTTATCTTTCTAAAGGAGCCAAATAACTCGCACATCTCAATGTAAGCAGGGTCAAGTGATCATGCAGTTGTTTTGCGAACATTTACCCGACTGTCAGTACAGAAGTAGAATAATCATTTTGGTGAACTCGTACAGTTCCAATTATTGGTTATAACAGCTTGCACTCTAAACGCCATTAAAGATGTTTTCCTGTTGTCAGTTGAGATGAGAAGTGTTTGGACTGATTGTTGACTACCGTCTGTTGATTAAATCAATCTGTTCCATACAACACTTGTATGTTTGTCCAACCTCTCGGTCAGTGTCAACTGCTGGCTATTAGTTTTCCACAGTGAAAGATATTATTAAAGATATATTTTCACCTCTGAAAGCTGTAGCAGCATTCGAATTCAAGAAGCCTAATGTTTGGGATAAAAATCATCAAGATCGCAGACCTTTTTTTTTTTTGCTTTTGTCACAAATATTTAGTGTATTGTAATATATTTTCCTTCTTCATCGCCATTATTGGTAACGTGATGAACTTCAAACTTTCGATAGCAAAAATTGGCTTAAGCCTTAAATAACAATAACATAACACAATGTTTAAGGGCAACAAGGGATCTATTCGTCCATCTAAGCTGTCTCATCCTCTGAACTAAACCAAAACTATTAATATGGTTATTAAGCTTTCTCTTAAACGCACTTAAATTCACTGCCTCTACAACATCTGAAGACAACTTGTTCCAAAGGCCAACCACCCTGTTAGAGAAATAATACTGTCTTAGCTGAAGATAACTCCCACCTTGCCAAAATTTGTATTTGTTTCTCCTAGTCCTACCGTTCTCGCCATTAAGTATGAAAAAAAGATGATGCATCAACACTTTAAATTCCTTTAATACCTCAATCAGATTCCTCTAATTCTTCTTTTTTTCAAGAGAAGACAATTTCAGAGATCTTAACTTCTAGTCGTATGAAAATCCCTCCATCACAGCCACCATTTTAATAGCCCTTCTCTGAACCCTTTCCAGCAATTTAATGTCTTTCCTAAGATAAGGAGTCCAAGACTAAACACAATACTCCGGATGTGGCCTAACCAGTTAACCTCTTGCTTCACAAGCACTTACTGTCGTGTTTCTCCTTTGTATCTTATAGATCCTTGTTCTGTAGACTAGCTGTATTATAGTTGCATTTAAGAGGTTTAGGAAGGTACACTCCTATATCTATGCATGTATATACGTATATGTGTGTGTGTTTTGCAGAAACTTCAAGGTCTACCATTCAGTGCGTATTTTAGCGAAGAACATGAAGCTTTGGGAGGAAACTTTATCAGATTCTGTTTTATCAAGGTAAATTAAAGAAAAAAGTAAAATAAAACTTTCTTCTTGATATTATTGTGAAATAATCTACTCTGATATTTCAGTTTGTGTAAAATTTATTTTTAAAAGAAAGATATGCATTAGAAATAAAATGTCAAATAGATAAATTGCTTGTAAAGACAAATATTTAAAGCCAAAATTTCTAGTTACAATTTAAAATAAATATTTCAAATTAATGTCAAATGTTGGTGTTCGCTTTGAATTTACCTTAAACTTGCCCAAGGTAATCTACATGTATCAGTTCATATGTGAATGAAAAGGGATGCTAAAATGAAATTTAATAATTATTTGCCGCTTTTGATCCAATGAGGTTAGCTTAATTAATAAAATACATTCTACACACTAAAGTTTAAACATGTTAATTTTTGTAAAGAAGAATCCGACCTTCTATTTTTTCTTTCATTAGGATGAGAATACATTAGAGAAAGCTACCCAGATAATTCTTGACTTGAAGAAATATCTCACTTCTTGAAACTTTATGTATGCAACTTTTTTAGCAAGGATTCTGAAGACTGGTAATTTTACCATGAAGTCATTTAGTAGTAATTTTAATTTTCTCCCCTAATTCTAATACATTTGAATAAAATAATTGTTGTGCATTAAATATATGTACTTGTATGTTTTGTTCTCTATTATTCTGTTTATTCTGAAATGATTTAGGTAAAACAAGTAATTCAAACACAATTTGCTAATTGTAGATTCTACCTCTGTCTCATGGATGTAATGAAGCCTGTGTAATTATAAATGACTGGCTATTTTTGTTCAAACAAGAATACACATGAATTCGTGATGATTTGAAACTGGTTACGTTACAACATCAATTGTTTATTTGTTTTGAAGTTCGCGCAAAGCTTCACGAGGGCTATCTGCGCTAGCCGTCCCTAATAAACAGTGTAAGACTAGAGGAAAGGCAGCTAGTCATCACCACCCACCGCCAACTCTTTTACCTACGAATAGTGGGGTTGACCCACGTACCGCAGATCCGAGCGCCCTAACCACCTGGCCATGCCGGGCCTACAGCACCAAGGACAATTCCCAATATGTTAAGCTTGTGTTATATTCGGTTCTTGCATGCTATTTAATTTTCAATTGTAAATCGTTGTTCATAGCAGGTTATAGACTTTTAATGGACTGCAACTGCTTCTTGAACTAAAACGGACGACGACGTTTGGGCTTCTATACAGAGACCTTTTTCGACCTGAAGAAGGCCTCAGTATAGAAGCCCAAACGTCGTTCCGTTTTTGCAGTTGCAGTCCATTCTCAAACCTGCCATGCCTAAAAAAATTAACCCAAACAGCGGGTGTTATATATTACAAACCATAATGCCTCCATGGACACCGATAAACAATCATATACAAATAAAATTAAAATATAAAGTGTCTAATGAGAAAAATGTTTCTCGATCTGTGAATATAAATTAATCTTAAGTACAAAACTTTCTAATCACGCGGTGAACGTAAAGATCGGCGAAAACTACCAAATTTTCAAGTATTTCAGTGTGTTGTCTTTTGTGAGAAATACAAAACCTTCTAATTACAGGATTGATGTTAATATTTGGAAAAAGTGAAAAATCATTTAGTTTTTCAGTATGTGTGAAGGATATTTAATTTTGTGAGGAGCACATAAACCTTAAGTAGACAGTAAAATTAGTCTAAATCTTTTTGTCAAATTCTTCAATTCAAGAGGTTTTAGCTTTACCATAATGTTAATTATTTATCTAATACTAAAGCATATCAAAAGATCGATATTCTAAGTTTTGTGTTGTCCTTGGAACTACAAGTTTCTTTGTTGATTATGCATAAGTTTATTGCCATGGTTGTGACATTTCTCGACACTGGAACTTCTACCGTAAAAAGTTTCTCCAAATGACTAAGTTCAATCTTAGACTACACATTTATATATACTGTTACGTCTCCGTTCGTTAGTTGATTTTCCGCAACTTCGTTCCCACGAAACTTTAGCGACACAAGTCCTTTCTTAATAAAACTGGTTTATTCTTTCCGAATATAACTTTACCGATACACTTATTTTCAACAGTCGCTCTATAACAAACGTTTTAAGAACGAACGTTAACTTCAACAATACTTTCTGACTGCAGTTCAATTACTCACTACCTACACACATTCTCCCGTCATCCTCTTATATATATATATATATACCAGACTACCCTATATCTAGTAATCTCCCGACAATTCCCTAAGGTTCGAGGGAACGAGTGGCGTGACACTAGTCAC